GAGTTCGGTCACCCTGACCTCACTGCGACTGGCGCCAAGGAGAAAAAGACGTGGATCGGTGGATCTCCATGTTTCCCAGCCCGACGGGATGGTCCAGGAAGTTCTATAAAAATATGCTGCAACCCTAGAAGCTTGTCCAAAAACAAATTTTAGTCGAACTGAGTCGAACTGAATCTGAAGTAACTACTAGGACCCTCCGACAGGTCACCAATTGAGGCCTGTTAGGGTCCAACAGCACTCAACTAACAGCCTGTTGGAGGGTGTTGGTATATTCATCACAAGGAATTCATTTGAGAACCAAACGGGTAAGAAAGAAACAGCTTGAGCTTTCCAGACTTGGTCACACAGCCAGCCGCATCTCGCAGTCCGGTCACCTTCACTGTCCAGTTGTTGTCCAGCCCATGGCCAGCCGAGGCAAAACGGCACATGGCCATGGCGCAAAGCAACGCAAACATCGTGGACCAGTACAGGATCTTGCAAGGACTCTATCTCAAACGCCTTTTCTGAGGTCCAAACTTTGCGGTTTGGACAATTGGCACAGTCCAAACGACTCAGCAAATTCTCCAGCAAATACTCTGGAAGTACGTATAAAGAATTCATCGTCGACTAAAATCACTGACTCAGTGACCAAGACCCACCGAAATGGGCCCATCTGCCGAAATGGCAACTCCACTACCTTTTCACCTCAAAACCACCTGATGATCTAGTTTCCCCAAACCATCCCAGGTGTTTCAAAATTAACCATCCATTTCGAAAAGAATCTTAGATGGTTCTTGATGTTTCAATGTGACGCCCGATCGAAAGCAAACTGCAGAAAAATAACGTTGAATTATTGAATGCGTTTGCTTGCTGAAAAGCCGTGGTTGCGACTTGCGATGTGTTTCCCAGGAAAATCCAAGGTTTGCAAAAGTACCAAACCACCAAACAAGGTCAAGCAATACGTCTTTACATGTCCTTCTAGATTCCACAGACCTGCACAAACCATTTTCTCTTGACCCTGGCGCAAAGGCCTGGCAAATCCTGCCAATGCTCATTGCAATCACATCAAGATTCATCTATGCCAAGGTGTTGGTTCTTTTCGAGAATGCGAATTACTATACAAACCCAGAACATAAATTAGGTACTCCAAAACAGGAGTCAATTTGGTTCTAGGAAGCTTTACAAAACTCTCACCATCAGTCCGTTGAAAGCTTTGTCCAGACCGAGGGAAATTCCTCGGTCGGCCAGTTG